TCATATTGGTATAATTGTACTGTGATTTAGGAAATTCTCTTTGAATTAAAACAATGAAATGCTTAAGTTAGTGTAGGCATACTGCTCTTGCACTACAGTAAGGAAGGGAGCTGTATGTATTCAGCGTTACTATGATCCAGGCATTTTATACAATCCCTAGTGAATATTGATTGAAAGGGATTGCATTTTTGGAAAAGGGAAAGTATTAACTAATTCAGTGCTATTTTATACATTTAATGCTCATAAATGTATCAGCTGTGTAATTTCCTAAAGTTACTATTTGCCCCAGGCTTTAGGTTTTTCAACCTTTTTTCTTGTAACAGATATTTATTGAACACTTATTATATGTTGGGTGTTGTTTTAGACACTGAGTATACCAGTGAACAAAAGGAATTGTGGAGCTTATTTTCTAGTGGTAGAGATAATAAAGCATATAGTAGATTTAGTGAAGAACATTATGGAGAATAGCAGGAATTAGACTGGCAGAGTGTCATTGGAGAAGAAGGGTGAAGTGATCAGGGAAGAAAAAGAATGAGTATTTGAACAGTGATTTGAAGGTGATACAGAGGATAGCTCTTTGGAGGAATCATGAGAGCAAAAGGCTCTGCTCTGATGGTTGTGTTTAGTGAACACTGAGCAGTATAATAGTGGAATTCATGAAGGTGAGGAGTAGGAGATGATTTCAGAGAAACAGAGAGCCAAATCATATTGGGGGTCATTGTAAGACTCGGTTCTACTGAAAATCATTTTTGAAGGTTTGAGTCTAGGAGTGGTACTAACTTGGGTTTTAAAGGAATCGCTCTGCCTATGTTGAGCATAGACTCTAAAGGGGATTGAGTAGGGGCAGGGAAACTAGTTAGGGCATACTATAGTAATCCAAACAGTGAGGGAAGCTTCCAGATTCTAAATCCTGGGGTTTATCTGTTCATTTTAAAGTTACTTCATACTAATGTTTGGAGTCTAATGAAGTATCTCCCTTGTTTTGCAAGTTTTTTATTCTGATAAGTTTATTTTTAAAAGCATATGCAAAATTCTTTATAAATTTGAACTGCAGTTTCTCAGTCTTATCCATTAAGCTATTAATGTATTTTTAAAGTTATCAGAGTGATGAAAAACATTAACTTGAAATCTAATTAATGATATGCATGCTGAAGTTTTTAGGGAAAAGAATAATAGGAGAAAAAAATTTAAGCTGGATTAATGCAAGAATGGCCAGATTGTGTTAATAAAAGCATTAGTAAAATGTTAATGGTGATTTATATTTGGACATCCTATCTAATAAAGAGGGAATATGCTAGTTGACCCTCACACTGTTGCAAAGATGGTGGTGCCCACAGCCAGTAAGGAGGGAATATGCTAATTGACCTCCCTGCTCTCAAAGATGGTGGTGCCCACAGCCACAAGATGGCCGGCAGGGGAGGGCAGTTAGGGGTGACCAGGCTGGCAGGGGAGCAGTTAGGCATCAATCAGGCTGGCAGGCAGAAGCAGTTAGGGGTAATCAGGCAGGCAGGGGAGCGGTTGGGAGCCAGCAGTCCTGGATTGTGAGAGGGATGTCCGAATGCCTGTTTAGGCCCGATCCCATAGGGGTCCCAGTTTGGAGAGGGCGCAGGCTGGGCTGAGGGATCCCACGCGCGCACGTGCACAAATTTTGTGCACTGGGTCTCTAGTTTATTATAAAACTCAGCTTTGCTATATGTAAGGAAGTTTTCCTTATAAAACATTGGTTAAAGTTATTTGGCTAAGATAATCAGCCAATTTGACACTGCATATTTTTTCCTTTCTAGGAGTCCTTTTGGTAAATATTTTTGCTTTTGTTTGCAGAAATTAATTTCAGAACTCCAGAAGCTATTTATGAGTAAAAATGAGACATATGTTTTAAAATTATGGCCTTTGTTTGTCAAACTTCTTGGGAAGGTAAGTCCATATCTAAAGAATAGTTCAGTTTTACATACTAGATCCTTTCATTTCTTAACTTTATTTACATAGCATAGTCAATCTTCATTACTCATCATACCATATATGCAAATTTACCTGTTCACTAAAATTTATTTGTAAAGCTAACATCAGTACTTGTTCTGTATAATTTCTTAAATGTATTACTAGTGTGTATAACAGACATGCAGAGTGGCAAAAAAATTTGAGTTCCCCAGTACGTTTGTGTTCCCAGCTGACCATGAATAAGGTTATGCTCTGCCATTTTGTTTGAGTTCTCTATATTCTCTAGACAAATGTCCTTTTCATGATCCATTTAGTGCCATATTTTTCACATTTTGTGCTTTATCTTGACGATCACATCATTTAATGGCCTCCAAGCATAGTGTTGAAGTGCTGTCTATGATTCCTAAATACAGAAAGACTGATGTGCCCTGTGAAGAAAATATGGATATTAGATAAAGCTTTGTTCATACCTGAGTTATAAAACTTTTGGCCAGGAGTTCAATGTTAGTGAATTAGTGATACACAGTTACACACTGGCTAACGATGTTTAGATCAGCAACAGACTGCATATACTATGGTGATTCCATAAGATGATAATGGAACAGAATTCCTATTGTCTAGTGATACCATGTGTTTGTGATGATGCTGGTGTCAAACCTGTGTTGCCAGTCGTGTAAAAGTATATTACATACAATTTTGTATGGTACATAGTATTCGATAATGAATAAATGACTGCTAACTGGTTAGTATATTTATTGTATTATTACTATTTTAGTGTTATCTTTCTGCTTATTAACAGAAACTTTCCTGTGGAATAGTATTCCATGTTACTCTGGCAGCAGCCTCATACATCTTGGTCTTACATCATCTTTTGATTGCATCATTTTCTCTTGTGCTTGATTTAATCTCATTTTTTGTACATTAGCATAATGTGCAGGTATACAGCCAAGAAATTGACTATACTATATAGCCTTGGTGTATAGTAGTCTATACCATCTAGGTTTGTGTAAGTACACTCTGTAATGTCTGCACAACAGTTGCCTGATGTATTTCTCAGAATGTATCCCTATTGTTAAGCAGTGCATGACTGTATAAGTAAGGTGTCTTTTAAAAAATAATCCTAAAGCAAGGTTGTGTATTGATTGATTAATGAAATCTGACCAGAAGCTCAACGGAACCTAACTCTGCATTTTTATTAGGAGTGATGGCTCAGTATTAAAGGTGACTTAACACATTGTATGCGGGAAACGTATTTATACGTTCTACCAGTGTAGTAGAGCGCGGGACACGTATTAATACATTTTTTTATAGACTAGCGGTAGAATGCGGGTAACGCATAAATACGTAAACTAAAGTTATCATAAAGCTTTTTTGCCTGATTTTCAAGGTCCTGGTGCCACTTTCTTACAAATGAGCTTGTAACTTGGCACCCACAGCATTCACTTTCTCTTTTTTTAATATTTATTTTTTTTTACAGAGAGGAAGGGAGAGGGATAGAGAGTTAGAAACATTGATGAGAGAGAAACATCGATCAGCTGCCTCCTGCACACCCCCTACTGGGGATGTGCCTGCAACCAAGGTACATGCCCTTGACCGGAATCAAACCTGGGACCCACCAGTCGGCAGGCCGACGCTCTATCCACTGAGCCAAACCCATTAGGGCCGTCCTCTTTTTTTCTTAACATGGCCCTATTTGTAGTAGAGCTTGGCCTTCTGACCAGTCATGTCTGACTTTGAGCATTTATGAGCTCCTCAACTTTATTTTCTCTTTTTCTCATGGTAATCCCAGTACTAACCATAGTGTTATGGTGGTAACTCAGTATATTTGTTTTGTGGCATAGTGATGGCTGTCCAGCTGCTTGGTAAAGGAGCCCTAAATTTTTTGGATCTGAGATCCAGGAGCCAATTCCATACAACTCACAGGACAGTAAAGCGTTTAAGTTTTTAATTTATTTTCTAGGTTTTGCTCTGTACTTTAAAGTAGTACTTACATTTTAAATTTTTTACTTTTTATTATAGTTTACATTCACTATTATTTTATATTAGTTTCAGGTATACATCATAGTGGTTAGACAACCATATACTTTACAAAGTGATTCCGTCCGCTTCAATATTTCAAGTACCCCCTGGCACCATACATAGTTGTTAGCATATCATTGTGTATATTTCCTATGTTGTCCTTTACATCCCCAGCTTTGTGCTTTTTTTTTTTATAATTAAGTTATTACATATGTGTCCTTATCCTCCCATTGCCCCCCTCCCCCCATGCCCTCACCTCCCCTGTTATCTGTGTTCATTGATTAGGCCTAAATGCTTGCATATAAGTCCTTTGGTTGATCTCTCCCCCTTCCCCCCACTCTCCCTTACCTTCCCTCTGAGGTTTGACGGTCTGATCTATGCTTCTCTGTCTCTGTTTTTCTTCATCAGTTTATGTTGTTCGTTATATTCCACAAATGAGTGCGATCATGTGATATTTATCTTTCTCTGACTGGCTTATTTCACTTAGCATAATGCTCTCCAGTTCCACCCATGCTGTTGCAAATGGTAAAAGCTCCTTTTTTACTGCAGCGTAGTATTCCATTGTGTAGATGTACCACAGTTTTTTAATCCACTCATCTACTCATGGGCACTTAGGCTGTTTCCAAGCTTTGTGCATTTTTAAATTGGGTGGTTTGTTTTTGTTGTTGAGTTGTATAGTTCTTTATTATGGATATTAATTCATTGTCAGACCTGATTTGCAAATATTGTTTCCCATTCTGTGGGTAATCTTTTTTTTTTTTTTTTTTCCTCTCACCGGAGGATATTTTTCTATTGATATTTTAGAGAGTGGATGAGAGGGAAAGACAGAGAGAAACATTGATGTGAGAGAAACACATCAATTGGTTGCCTCCTGCATGCGCCCCAATCAGGGCCTTGGCCTGGGAGGAGCCTGTGTAACCAAGGTACGTGCCGTGACTGGAATTGACCCTTGGGACCCTTTGGTCCACAGGCCGACACTCTCTATCCACTGAGCCAAACCAGCTAGGGCTTTGCTTTCTTTTTTTTTTTTTTTCTTTTTTTTTTTCTGTATACAGAGATTTTATTTAATTTTAAAAGAAAATAAAGACTTTAGACAAAGCTTTGATCCTATAACAAAGCAAATCTGTCCAGCTTTAAACCAAATTCCAAGAGTAACCAACTTATATTTTTCAGCAGCTGGCAAGAGCACCCTTAATGAGCTCTATTGACAATTCTATTTTCTTCATCCCATATGGTACAAAACAAAACCAATCTAGACTCCTTGATAAGCTTTATGTCATCATTTGAGTTTTACAAATCGTTTCTCTAATGGTATGCCAAAATCATTTTTGTGTTCTCTCCACACAGTTTTACTATAACATACAGCAATGTTTATCCTGGTTGTGAGTCTTCTGTAAACAGTCAACCAATGCTCTATGTTATGAAAACCAATCTATATGCAATAGAAACAATCCACAGGTTCTAACCTGGAAATACTAGGAAAACAATCTGGATGCATTAATCACAACACTTTGAATAGCTACCCTACAAAGAATTGATTTGAATAGCTATCCTAATACAAGTTTTACTTTCCTTGAGCCTATAGGTCTGTCATTCAAATCAGTGACAGCAGCTGTGGCTTCATCCTGAGATTCAAAGGCCACCATGGCTTCTCCTGTAGGCATACCTTTTTCATTGTATTTTAAACAAACTGAGCCTGGGATCACTTGATAGCCATAAAAGAAATCTAAAATCTCATCAATAGACACAGTAAAGGGCATGTTCTGCACTTTAATTACTGTAGGTCCTGGTTTTCCAGAACTAGATCCAAAGCCAGGGGGACCACCAATGTGGATTGGACCAGGCCCGGGCCCGGGCCCGGGCCCAGGCCCAAAGGCTGGTGGTCCACTCAAATATCCTGGGGCATTTCCAAGACCCGGAGGGCCACTTCCAAAGCCTGGGGGACCACCTGAGCTACCAGGGCCATTTCCAAAATTCTGAGGACCCCCTCCAAATCCTGGCCCACTTAAATTATTTGGTCCACCTCCAAAACCTGGAACATCCAGTCCCAGACCAGGCAAACCACTATTTCCAACTGAAGGCATACCAGGCCTAACATCACCAAAGGCTCCTCCTAATCCTGGAGGAGGCAGTGGTGGTCCAAAAGCATTTGGCCCACCAAAATTACCAGGAAAATTAAATGGAGGCCCGTTATTGGCCTCCTTAGATCCTACAGTCAAGAAGGCATGCTCTTCACCTCCTGCATTAGGCATTCCTGCATTGGGCATTCCCGCATTGGGCATCCCTGCATTGGGCATCCCCACACTGGGCATCCCCGCATTGGGCATCCCCACATTGGGCATTCCTGAATTGGGTATTCCAGCACTGGGCATTGTAGCACTGGGCATTCCTGCATTGGGCATTCCAGCACTAGGCACTCTAGCACTTGGGATTCCTGGAACTGCAGGATTACCTGGCACAGGCATCTTTAACCCCTTTTTTCCTTGGGCAGGGGGATTTTTCTCAATCTCTCTCATATCTTCTAGAGTAACTACATGAACAAAAGCTTCTCGCCCATTAAGTTTTTTATGGTGCAAGCGTTCAGACTTACGTGCATCATCTTCATTTTTAAACTGAACCAATGCCTATCCTAGACCTTGCCCATTGTTATCAACAAGAACATGGACAGCATTTTCATCCACTGGGATTCCTTCTAGGAACTGAAGAACATCCATCTTGGTAATGCTGAATGGAATATTTGTTATGTGAGCACAGACTTTGGTAGAGCTGACATCCCCCTCCGGATTTAACATCATTTCTCTCTGGTCATAATTGAAGTTCTGGAGTCTTTTTCTAATCATATCTATCTTTTCTAGCATACCTTTCTTAGTAATTGGATGAACCTGAATAAAACGATTGCCCATGTGTTGTTTATGACGACACAGAGCAGCCTTATAGTCAGCCTCATTCCTGAACTCCACAAAGCCTTCACCAGTTGCTTTCCCATTGGGTCCATACGCGATATAAATACTATCTTCCACAATATCCAACTTTTTAAAAAAATCAATGACATGTTTGTTTTCAGCTTCAAATGGTAGCCCTTTCAAGTAAACACAAAAACCAGCCTCATGTGGTGATCTTGACCTTTTCTGCCCACTGGGCGATTTTGACCTGGGAAGTGTCTGAGGAGGGGGATGGGTTTGTCCAGAGGGTCCTATACTTTGCTTAAAAGTGATATGGCCTCCAGCAGCTACCCACTGTCTCTCTGTCGCAGGACTAACTTCCACATAACGTATCAGCATCCTGTTTCGTTTCAAGGCTTCAAATGTATCTTGAGGGGAGAGAAACTTAACCAATCCATTCCCATTATTTCAACCTACATGATCTTTCAACAAATGCACTGCATCAACACGGAGCCCATGAAAAAAATCTCTGACATCATTTTCCATTGCAGAAAAGGGCATTCCATGCACACTGACATACAGATCATCAGGGTTGATGGGAAGTGGTTTCACACTGCTTTGAGAAGTCATCTGGATAGGGTTAACAGGATTCAGTGGACCCAGAAACACAGGGTTCATGTTACTGTTCAGATTCATAGGTGCTCCAGAGCCATTCATTCCAGCAGGCAGAGGTGCTGCAGGTGGTGGGTTTAAGGGCGGCATGCCCGACATAGGTGGCAGTGGAGTCAGGGGTGGCACAGAAGGGACTAGGGAATTGGGGGCACTGGAGGCACGGGAGGCAAAGTAGGTACTGGAGGAGGAACTGGTATTGGGGGAATGGATGGCATTGGTGGCAAAGATGGCATCGCTGGAATTGGAGGAATTGGTGGTGGTGGGACTGTGTTCATTGGAGAGGCTGTACTTGAAATGGTTGAGCTAAACGTTGGGCTCCCAAATGAAGTCCCCATATTTGGAGGAGCCGTTCCTATGCTGGCTGTGGAAAATGTCTGTATGTTTTTGTTGCTTTCATGAACAGAAGTGGTGGCAGTAACTACACTGTGTGAAGGATTATTAAAGCTGGGTACTTGTTGTAGGCAAGTTAACCCTGCCACTCATTCCTGAGCTAGGTGGTGGTCCTGATCTACTAGCATTTGCTGGTGGTATATCTAAGTTGGCAGTTTCAAAACGCCTACGACTCAGTTCAATCATATTCTGCATTTCCGTTTTACTACTCAACAACAGTGTTACTTTTGACCCTTTAATTGTACCACCTGTGCGCATCATACCAAGCCTTGCATCTTCATCAGTGGCAAAAACGATGAAAGCCTCACCCAGTTCACCCCCTACAATATGCACGCCCCCATCAGGAATGGTCAATCCAGAGAAGAAGTGGCGAATGTCCATGGTCCCCGCCACAATTGGGAGATCTTGCAAACGGATGACCATAGCCATGCTGCGCTAAAACCACACACACCTGATAAAACAAGAGATGTATTCTCTTAACTAGAAGTAGAGGCCACGTCAATCCTGTGGGCAACCAATTAAAACCAACTTATAGACGGGGAGAACTGCGCGGCACCCGAACCCAGAGCCGAGTTACTCCCCAAGAGAGCGCCTCCGCCCGCGGCCGACAGCCCCTACGCCGGGCTTTGCTTTCTTGATGGCATTCTTTGATGCATAAGCTTAAATTTGATAAAGTGCATATAAATTAGGTAAATAGATAACTTTCTTTTTTGTGTGCTTTTGGTGTCATCCATGAAGTTGTTGCCAAATCCAGTGCATTAAATCTTTTTCTCTGTTTTCTTGGAGCTTTATAGTTTTAATTTTAGTTTATAAATTCTGATCTTTGATCCAGTTTGAATTTATTTTTGTATATAAGGCAAGGGTCTAGCTTTAATTTTGCACGTGGCTATTTCATTTTTCCCAGCACCATTTGTTGGACTGTCCTATTGAAAAGTCTCTAGGCACATTTATAAAACAACAATTGACAGTATATGAAAGGACTTATTTGGGGGTTTCTATTTTATTCTATGTTTATTCTTATGTCACTACCATAAGTTTTAATTACTATAGTATTGTAATAAGTTTAGAAGTCTCGGAAGTGTGAGTCCTCCAGCTTTATGTTTCAGAAGTGGCTATTTGAGGCTCTTTGCAATTCCATATTGAATTTGAAGATTGGTTTGTTTTTTGTTTTTTTTCTGTGAAAAGGGCTGTTGGAATTTTGATAGAGATTGAGTTGAATCTGTAGATTGCTTTGGGTAGTATTGATATTTTAATGATAGCAAATCTTTCTACCTATGAATGTGGGATGGTTTTCTACTTATTTAAGACTCTAAATTTCTGCAGTGTTTTGTAGCTTTTAGTGTATAACTCTGGCTTTCTTGATTAGATTTATTCCTAATGAGTATTTAATCTTTTAAGTGCTATTGTAAATGGAATTGCTTTCCTAGCTTCCTCTTCAGATTATTGCTGACATGTAGAAATAGAACTGATTTTCAGGTGTTGATCTTGTACTCAGACTTGTTGAATTAATTTTATTAGTTCTAGGAGCTTTTTTGTGAATTGCTTGTGATTTTCTAAGCCAGTTTTTTTCTGTTAACACATTGTATGAGGAAACGTGTTTACACGTTTTACGTATTTATACGTTCTACCAGTGTAGTAGAGCGCGGGGCATGTATTAATACTTTTTTTATAGACTAGCGGTAGAATGCGGGTAACGTATAAATACGTAAACTAAAGTTATCGTAATTTTACTGAACGTTGCCTTTTGCGCAAAAATGGCCCGCGCCACCTGTTAGCGCGCGATAAAAACTACCCGCAAACAATGTGTTAATATATTCTGTTTAGGTTATATATGGTTTATAGCCACTTATGAATTAACTAGAGGCTCAGTGCACAAATTCGTGCACATTGGAAGGAAATTAATTAGAAGGTGGCCGGCAGGGCGGGACTGGGCTAGATGGGACAGACACGCCCTGGAGCCAACCTCCTTCGGTCCCTCCCTAGCCAGCCGCACCTGGGGTGACCGGGGCTCGAAGGGCATCTGCGGAGTGAGCGGGGTCCCTCCGTCAGGTGGGGTCCCTCAGCCTGGCCTGTGGGGGTTGGACCGAAACTGGCAGTCTGACATTCCCCGAGGGGTCCCAGAATGTGAGAGGGCACTCTACCAAGTTGCTGTTGCTCGGCAGCACCTACATTGAACATCTGTCCCCTGGTGGTCAGTGTGCGTCATAGAACGGTCAGATGGTTGCTTAGGCCTTTATATATATAGATATTTTACCTTTTTATGTATTTTTTTAGGGTGCATATTTATTTGTCCTTTATCCATTTTTCCCTTAACCATTTTTCATACCTGTTTTATTTACTGTATTTGAAAAGGTGTTTTTATTAGTTTCAGGGTTTAACATTTCTTATTTTTTCTTTAATATTGATTCTATTTTTTTTCCATGTACTCACTTTTTGGTATTATGTTAGTAAAATTTGTTTTTAATCTGACCTTCCTAATTTTCTCTAATGTTTTAGAAATGCTTTGTGTGTTATGTATTATCTGCTTCTTGAAGTTTTATATTTTGTGATCTTGAAACTTGAATGTGCATACAGAATTTGGTACTTTAAAAAATGTAAATTCCTAAGACTTTTATGTAACTGAAACAGAATGAATTAGACTAGTGAATCATACTAGAGCCTTATATATTGTTTCAGCAAGTAAGTAACTTTTTAATGATTTTTCCTTTTTAGACCTTACATCGAAGTGGGAGTTTCATTAATTCTCTGTTACAGCTGGAGGAACTGGGATTTCGTAGTGGAGCACCCATAATTAAAAAAATAGCTTTTATTGCTTGGAAGAGTTTAATAGATAATTTTGCGTTAAATCCAGGTAAGTAATATTTTAAAATTTTGAATATTTATGTTCAAAAAGTATCAAATACCATTTGTGGCACTCTTAGTACATGCCAACACTTAGTTGAGCACTTTACCACCTATCTCATTGATTACAATAGAACTGAGGTACTAAGTATTTTTACTATTTTGGAGAGATTATGTAATTTACCAAAGGTCACAATAGATGATAGGAAACAATTGTGATTGTTATGGAATAAACATCACTGACTGAACTTTTTAAAAAAATATTTTTTTTTTATTGATTTCAGAGAGGAAGGAAGAGGGAGAGAGAGAAACATCAATGATGAGAGAGAATCATTAACTGGCTGCCTCTTGCACGCCCCCCACTGGGGATCGAGCCTGCAACCTGGGCATGTGCCCTGACCGGAATCGAACCCGGGACCCTCCAGTCCACAGGCCAACGCTCTGTCCACTGAGCCAAACCAGAATGGGTGACTGGTGAACTTTTTTTATCTTTTAGGACATTTAGAACTGTACCTAATAGTAGATTAATATTAATATACTAGAGGCTTGGTGCACAAAAATTCGTGCACTTGGGGTGGTGGGGGGGGGGGATCCCTCAGCTTGGCCTGTGCCCTCTTGTAGTCCGGGAGCCCTCAGGGGATGTCCGACTGGATTAGGCCCGCTCCCAGGGACATCCTTGGGAGCGCACTGACCACCAGGGAGCAGCTCTGGCTCTGTTCCCTATTGCCCCACCACCAGTGGCCTCCCTCTGCCGGAGGCAACTGGGGTGTGGGGCCTTTGGGGGACAGCGCCGGCCTACGAGCATCTGGCCCCGCCCCCCCGATCGCCTCCCTGCCGCTGCTGGTCGCCACTGCCCCCTGATTGCCATCCCCTCCCTCTGCCTGCTGGCACCCACTTTGGCTGGCCTGGCGCTGCCCGCTCGCCAGCCCTTCCCCCCACCCACTGGTTGTTCCACTGTTTGGTTGATTTGCTTATTAGGCTTTTAGTATATAGGACGTGTTTCCTTTTGATTTACCTTAACCTTAACATCCTATTATCCTAGTGAAGGTGTTTGATATAGATAGATAGATAGATAGATAGATAGATAGATAGATAGATAGATAGATCGATCTAGATATATAGATTTAGATATAGATATATAGATATAGATTTAGAGAACGAATGTTTAGCACAAAGGTGGGTCAGTATTAGTACCTATTTAACTGGGTAATTAATCTTCAGTATAATAAATACTGTATATTTCCAGATCTACTAAGTAATGTGGATTTCATCCTATATATATTTTTTTTCTACCAAAGACCATTAATTCTTTCCTCTTAATGTGTTTTATAAAGTGATTATTTGCATTAACTATCATTACTTTTATTGAAAATGTTGGTAAAAGTGCATTGCCAGGCACCAGTTTTAATTAGAAATGTCACTTTCTTTTTTTGTTGCTTATGAACTATTAGCATGAGATAATGTTCACGACTAAGTCTGTTGGAATTATAAACAGTTGAATGTTACAGCATAAAATAGGAGGGGTGTAAAGAAGATGAAGTAAGTCTAGAGCTAGAGAGTCTCTGACTTGTATTATGGATCTAGGAAGTTATTAACAAATCAGGTGCTTGACTTTCTTTTCTGTCATCTTCAGTATGCCTTAGTTGCAGACTATAGGAAAGAGGGAAGGCAGAGAGCATAAATAAACTTCTCAGCTAAGTTGGCTATCCGTATTGAGCATTCTAGAAATCCACATTCATCACCACTTAATTATCATTCAGTAGAATGGCTAAACAGGAGACTAGATAAAGAAGTCATAATTGGGCAGCCATCAGTGTTATGAATGAAAGCAGGTCTTGTAACTAAAAGAAAATGGATTGTATGGCAGTTGGCAATCTCTGTTACAGGGTATTTTTTTTGGAGCTCATAAGTAGAGGATTTGTTCTCACAGTAGTCTGACTTCTTACTTCAGAATCTTTTTTAAGTCTTTTTGATAAGTTACTTTAGCACAGACTGTCTTTTTATGTATTCCCAGTCAACACTCTCACACTATAGACTTCTGATATAAATATTTTGCTTAAAGAATTAGATTTCATTTTTATGCTGAATTTTAATATGTAATTATTATTAATGTAGACGTAGGTTTCCAAAATCTAATGGCAACAACGGTTATAATGCTTGATAAGATAAATTACTAGCAAAATTTAAAAATAACCATTTTTGACAGAATGTAAAAAATGCCTCTATTTTTTAAAATAGCTTTTTATTGGTTTTAGAGGGAGAGGAGAGAGAAACATCAATGATGGGAGATAGTCATCAGTTGTCTGCCTCCTGCACACCCCCTACTGGGAATTGAGCTCCAAACCCTGGCATGTGCCCTGACCGAGAATTGAACTGTGATCTGGTTCATGGGTCCATGTTCAACCACTGAGCCACACCAGCCAGGCAGTAAGCCTCTATTTTTTACCTGTAAAGTGGAGATGACAAGAATACAAAGCAGCTTGGACAGTTTCTCAATGTTTTGGAATATCGGGCTACAGTTCATTGTGGAGGACTGCTCTGTATTGTAGGAAGTTTAGCAGCATTTCTGAATGCACCTCACTAGATGCCAGTAGTGTTCTCCATACCCTTGCTTCTCAAGTTGTAACAACCAAAAATATTTTAGACATTGACAAATGTCGCTTTATTGCAAAATCACCCATGGCCCTCAGTATTTAATAAATAATACTTATTCCTTTTTTATTGTTGCCTTCCTAACTATTGTGGTCTAGGTGTACTGGAGTTTGTCAGGGGA